ATCGACTCAGGGCCCGCGATGGGTGGGGCTGAAGGCGGGGCCGGCGTCTCATTGGGCCGCCGGAGGTAGGGCTCCGCCTACCTAGAGGGGCGGGCCCGAGGGGGCGGGGCCACGGAGGGGAGGAACGAGCACCCGGAGGAAGAATCTGAGCCCGCGAGGAGAGGAGGGGGCGAGAGTCTGAGAAGAGGCTCCCGTAGGGAAGGGGAGAGTGGGGACCGAGAGCGAATGGAAGGGGGGGCCACCCGGAGAGTTAGCGAGCCGAGGGGCCCTGGGAGAGGAAGGGCCTCGAGGGTCGGTTACGAGGAAAATCGGGAGAGACCGCAGGAGGCTAGAGGGGCCACGTTCTGCAGGGGGCGGAGGCAAGGGGGGTGTACCCCGGTCTTCAGGGGACAAAGGAAGCGATTGAGGGGAAGGCCGAGCGGGGAACAGAAGGGACAAGGTAGAGGGTTATGTGGGGAGAAGAGGGAGAGGCAAAAGGCGGGTGGGGAGGGGGCCATCCCGCACCCGGGACTGGAAGACCACCCATCCGTGAGATCCGGGGGAACTGTGTGCCTGTCACGGTACCCAGCGGGGTCCTGAGTACTGACAGCAGCCCCCCTCCTCTTTTCTGGCTCCTCGCTGTTCCAGGAGCCGCCTTCACCTGGGAGGGGCAGAATCGTCTCCCCCCAGCCCCAGGCCCGACCAGGCTGCTCCGTCCTGGGAGGGAGGGGCACCTCCGTCTTCCTCTGATCATTTCCTTATCTCCTTCAGACAAGGAGAACTGGGGCCCCTAAGAAAGCGGGCACCCCCACATTATTTCTCCATTCCGACCAGTACAAATATGTCCCTGGGTGGTGGCCCCCTTTTCCAGCCTTCAGGAGAAAAAGTTGAGCTCAGCCAGCCAGCCAGCCCCTCAGCCCCTCCTCCCCACCCCAGCCTTCTCCGCAGCCCCCTGATTCTTCTCCCCATCAGGTTGTACGAGACAGTCCTCTTCCTCAAGTGCAGTAAAGTGTTTAGGTTGCATAAACTGAAATGTGTCTGCTTCCATAAAAGTATTTGTCACATTACTGGAGGCCGGCCCTGTGCTGCGCCACCACTCCTCCCTCACCCTGCTTTATCCAGCCCACCAGGGAGGGGAGACCCTCCAGCCGCTTTCTTTTCTTCTGAGATCTGCTCCCAGTTCACACTCTCCCGGCGCTGACCTGTCACCGAGTCCTCATGTTGCTCCGGCTTTCTCTGCTCAAGGCTGAGACTGCTTGACCCCACCCAGAGCGGGCTGAATGAAAGGACAGCAGGGTGCCAAGTAGGGGGCTGTGAGAGGACCTCCCAAGCACGGCTGGCTGATCCCAGGTTAGAGCGACACCCACGACAAAGGAGGGAGCTAAAACAATTCAATAAATAACGTTTATTCAGGCTTAACCGTGTGCCAGGCCCTGTGCTGAATGCTTTAGGTATGTGGCCACACTTGGTGAAATCCATAGAGGCAAAGCCAAAACCCATCATTATTCGCATTTTACAGAAGCTCTGGCAAGTTAAGAGATTTGCCCAAAGTCACACAACGAGTAAGTGGCAGAGTCGGGATTCAAACCCGCAGCCTGGCTCCGCGCTCTTCCAACCTCGACGCCATTAGGTCTCCAGGTGCCGTTTACCGCCCAGAGGGTGGAAGGAGCCAGGGCGGGAGGAGGGGCGCTCCGGCAGCCAGCGCGCTCCAGGCTCGGGAAGTCCAGTCCCTAGCTCTCGCCGTCAGTCCGGCCTCCTGTCCCCCCACCGCGGTCTCCCCCAGCGTGATTCTCCCACGACCCGCACGGCCGGTGACTCCAGGGACCAGGGCGCGGTCATTAGCGTATGATTTGTATACCCCGCCCCCCCCTCCGCCTAGTTCGCACGCAAAAGGGTCCCGCCTCCGTTGCGCCGCCGGGGCTCCTCGGCCCCCCGCAGCCCTCCCGGAACCCGCCGGGGAAAC